CATGTTGTGCTCAGAGATTTATTTTGATTGGAAGTGATTATATTTACATAAGAACATTAAAGAAGGAGACAGTTGTAGCGAATCAGCTCATGGGGAAATATGAATAATTAACCATAACTAGTTATAATTAACTATTCATATTTTAGATCCACTGTAGATATTTAGCTGACCACTCAGGGTCAACCGTCTTGTCAATTCTAAGAACGTTAATTTCCTGGTTAAAGGAAATAACTTTCTTACTGTACAATTCTATAAGTTTGTAACATAAATCTGCATGATTATTGACTTATCGGGTTACCATGAAACCAGGGTCTTGTTCGGCGTCCTGGGGTGTTACAAAGTATTTGTGAAATCTAGCTAACAAAATATATATTGTGTGTTGGAGTGGTCCAGACGCTACACAGTCCTCCTGACACAGAACAAATCACCTGACCCCCAAACCTGCTTGTTACTATAGCATGTGTCACCATATCTTTCTCACTGTCTTTTATATTGAATTTTTAGATTCCTATACAGATCGATAACCAGAGTGCTGTGGACAATGAATGATCTTTACAAAGCTATAACTTTGCCATCTAAAAGCTTTCATAAACCACTCTTTTATTTAACACTTACTTTACCTTTCAAACTGAAGTTACATTGCAGTTTGTAGGCTTATTGTAATCCATTTCTCTGAGAACTTATTTTTTGACCTAGAAACCAATGGCTTCAAACAAGCTTTATTTTATTGTGTTGTTGAAACACTAAATGCATTGCTTCTCCATAGTTATGTCTTTCTCAAATGGAATATGGCATTTGTCAAAAGCTTTAGAGAAGATATAACTCTTAAACAGACTCCTGCCTGAGGAGGACGGAGTTCAATTTGACTAACAACAAATAAGCTGTTGTGTATCCATTGAGCCAGCGGTGACAGAATCCACCTCATTGAACTGAAGCAACATGTGGCCAAACCCAGAAGGAATCCAGAGAGAGAATCATCTGTGCAGGGGAGATAGACCGTGTTCTCACAGCTGTTTTCATCAGCTTGTGGCAAAATAACAGACAGATGAATTGATAAAAACAAAATGCTTTAGCAGTTCGTAATATAGTGTGCAATGACCCATCGTTATCAACTGAAATCACAATTTTAACTTTGGTCATGGACTACTATACAGAGTAAGTATAGAGAGTATTTTTGTAGGCCAAAACCCGGAAACAAGTTAGCATTTTAGCACTTCAGTTTCAGCAAGTCATGTGCATTTGTGAAATTAATCTCGATGACCTGTAACGATAATTCACTGAAGGCGAGCGTAATGAACCCAAGTACAGTTTATTGAACAAGTGAAATCTAAAATACAAACAAAGACTTGACTTGAAACAAAAATTTACCAGCAGAGGGTTACACGAACAATACTGGACGGGAAACAATAGGCTTGTTCAAGATGAACTACACTAGCCTGCCACCGGCTGGCAAGAGTAGCCACATGCAGTCGGGGCAGAATTAAAAGTGGAGACGTCAAGTAGGACACTTTCTGCTACGGGTAGTGACACTCTCGCAGTGTTTGCATACTCTATCACAGATAAAGTGAATTAAATGCAATATTTCTCAAATATAAAGAAACGTTTTTATGATCAACAGAAACACTTTTTATGTAGTGCTTAAGTTAATACAGCGTCATCTGTTCAAGAATAAAGTTCAGCATATAAACATATAGGCTACTAAATACCGATAAAGTGGGGGAATATATGCTTTTATCAGTGTTTTTGATGAAAATGACTCAATATAAAAGTGTGACTACACTAAAAATGCGTTTACTGTTATAAAAACCCGGATTTGTGAGCATTATTGGAATTGAATTGTTAGAATAAGCATGCAACACACGTCGTGCTTGTCATCGCAGAATCTGACCAATGAGAATAAAGTGTGTCATCATCAAGGCTTTCGCAGCCGATTTTGAGCAACTGCAGCGCCTGACCTCGTGGCTGGTCTCGTTTTGCTCTCGCGGTACTTTGATGGCACATGTGATCGTAAGGCTTCTGCAGCAGCAATCAAAGTTGGACAAATGTTCTAACCAGAATTCATTACTTTTGTCAGGCGGCAGCCGATCTTTGCAGCACCGCATGAAGTCAAACAAGCCTAATGGCAACATGAGGGCTACTTATACCAAACAATACAGGTCACATGACACAATCCAACCAATGAGAAACAAGACACATGACTAAGACAACCAATAACAACATGACACATTGAACAAAGGAACTAATAGCAGGATCACATGACAGGGTAGGGAAACACATGACAGGAACATGAAACATGCTAAATATCTAAATAAAAGACAAGGATACCTAAACAAGAAACAAAACCCCCAAAACCAGCGTGACATGACTAAATGTTTAAGAATTAGAAACTTTTGTTGGTCACAGAATTAATTTTTTTACAGTAATCCAAAAGCCAATGGAAAAATCTATTGGATTTTTGTCCGGGGAACCAAGGTGATGCTAACTTCTAGGTAGGACCTACAAAAACACGTCATCACTGCAGCAATTTTTAAGACAACAACAGAAAAAGAGGTGCATTTTGGCATGAAATGAAAATTAATCTATTGTATCTATTTTTGTAAATGCATGTTGTTATTGATCTTTTTGTGGACACTTCATCCATGCATATGTTTCATTTTGTAATGTTTAATTAAAATATTACTTCTCCAATAATTAAAAATTATAATTTTGTTAAATAATTTAACAAACTTTTGGGTACAACACCCACATCTCAGAATCCAATGAACAACCAATGCAGTCCCCTCCCTACATTGCAACAATATGGAACAAAAGATCAGTTGTTACTTTCTTTTAAAAAATAACTTTGAAATTGGAGTCGCTTTAACAATTCCACTGGCTGTATAAGTATAAACACCCACCTCATACTGAATCCCATGACCGGAATTCAAAGATAAAGGATATGCAGCCTGTATTTCTTTAGGAAGTGATGGATGAAATGATGTATTGGGTTGCATAGAGGGTCTGTGAGCAGATATGGCAGGGGTGACCTGCTACGGAGTTTTCAGCTTGAGAAAGCACCAAATCTCTGACACAGTCTCCCATTACGTTGTGTCCAGGTGGGCTGGCCTGTGGATAAATGTTGTCACGTTCAGGGAAGCCACTTGTCTAATGGTTTCCACCATGCATAAAGCCATGAAATTAAGTAGCAATGGCTGGTTCAGTGACAGTGCCTTGTTTTCCATTTGGTTTCTGATTTATTGTGGCGAGTGATATTTGGAGATGGAAATTTAACGGAGGCAGTGAGAAAAGAGGCATCTGTGTCTGATACGCCGGTGTGTGTGACGGAAAGGCAGGGCTGGATGTCAATCTGTGAAGTCCTCTGTGGAATTGGATCTAAACCAAGGGGAAAGACTGAATGAAGTGTCTCTCCATTTTCACTCTCGGCTCAAGAGGAACAATAACAGATGCAGTTGATAGGAAATACGTATTCTGAGCAGCAGAGTAATTCAAGAGTTTGAGAGGGTTCTCGTTCTGTCTCATAGTCAGTCTGTTCTCTCTTTAGAGTTTCTATTTTCTTTTTCACACACATCGCACCCAAGCCTCAAAACCAGTTCAACACCATTGTGTCAGTCAGCGCCCTCCCCACTGGAGCCTGGATCTCTGTGACAGTGGGACTTTATAATGTTCCAGCATGTCGTCCTGTCAGAATGCAAGCCACATGCTTTCACCTTCAGCCCTCCACTAGTAACACCCATAATTACTCACTGGGTGGTTTGGAGGAAGTTGGGTGTGTGGGGAAAAAGCTCTGAAATTGGTCAGCAGGGTCATTGGGTTCAGGGTGGACAACAGCAGCTGTAATTAAATCTGACAAAAGATTAATGGTGACTCTAAGACTAATTTGTCTGTACCAGTATTTATTTATTTATTTCAATTAGTGTTGCTGGATGACAGTAAAAGGGATGACGGAGCTGTCCAATACTGTGGTGCTGAAATGCAGTTGCAGCATGAAGAACTCAGGGTGGGCCATCTCACGCTGTGCTTTTTATCAGCATTAACATTCCTATCGCCGACTAGATGTAATGGGATTTTATGCGATAGCTATTCTAGTCCTTTCAAAATATTTGCTGATAACAAACCACTGATTTTCAGCAGCAGAAAAAAGTCTGAAATGTTATCAACAAAAGCCTCTGTTGCCAAGAAAATAGTTTTAATTAATTTTGATTCAACTAGTGAAAACAACTTTTAACATTTTCTGTAATTATTACTTATAACTACAAAAAAAAAAACAATATGTTACAAGTATGGGACAGCATTTTGTCTGTATTTCACAGTTCCTTACTATATATGTCAAGTTAGGAATCCTATTTGCTACTAAAACCTGCCTATTAGCATTAAAAATGTAAATAAACGCTAAAGAAATGCGATTGCTCATGAAGGGAGTTTTGATCATGCACCTTTCTCCATACAGTACATTAAGGAGTAATCCTTTTTACTTATAAAAACAGATTTTTAACAATATAATACTGTAAAAGTTTGCATATTGCCTTACAAAAAACAACATGAATCTTCTCCGTAATTTGTAAGGTAGTTTTTCTATATTTTACAGTAAAATACATGTATTATCTCTTTTGAAAGAATGGGGTTTCAGTTGTAAATAAAACAAAGATTATTCAAGTATGTTGTACAAAATTACATATTCAGTCTTTCTGCTTTCTGCTTTAAAATTTCACATTTAATTCAATGTAATGCAATTTGTTGCAATATTGTAATTTTAATTTAGCATTTTGTGCGTTAATTTCCCCTCGTTATTTTTACAGTGTGCGTTGTATTTCAGAAGTTAACCGCTGTGAGAAATAGCTCAGGCAAGTAATGAGCCGTATCTATGGATCAATAGCGTGATGCTACGCCGAGAGAGAGCAAAGCACGTATAATATGTGAAAGAATGCGCTAGGGGTGGAGTTCTGCTCTTTTACTTTCCACTCCACTCAGTGCAGACAGAGAGATCTCACCGCTGTCAGAAGTCGCGCACCTGTACTCTTCCTTGAGGTTTTCATTTAGCAAACCAAACCCTTTATGTAGTCTTCTTTTTGTTTTCTTGCAACATTGCTGATTTCTTATTTTGAGCGCATCACAAGGGCATCCGCGGACTCCAGCACAGACGCTGATTCTCTGTCACTCTGCTGAGCTGGGAGATTTGAGTAAGCACCGCAGGACCCAGAACTGCAAAACTGTTTGAAGTAGAGAGCTTCCTCTTGTCCCGCGCGCCCATGGAAGGCGACGTTATGGATAAACTAGAGGACATGGCCTCAGTGTGCGAGTTCGACACTATTACGGAGAATATTCCTGCCACCAAGGTGGAGATCACCGTCTCGTGCAGGTATGACTCACTCAAGTTGAAATCACTTTGATTTCATGGCGTTTATAGTTCATGTTAACCACATAATATCAATACTTTGACTATATAAAAATTCTTAACAATTTTACCGTGTGTTAGTGGTCTTAAATTGAATATTTGGTTCTGTTGGAAAAAAAAAAAAGTTAGATTTTTCTTCTTTCTATTTGTTTTTTTCCAAACCAGCATACTGGTTCCGTTAACTGAGAGCACGAGAAGCATCAGTATGTAAATGGGTTTGGTCTATAGAAGCATAACATTTTTTTCCTTTGGGATGAGACTTTATTTTAAGCATTATTTAGCATAGTTTATAGCCTATAACTGTTAATGGAATGCACTTTTGGTTATGAGCTGCCATTAATTATAAAAATAAAATAAAATAAAGTTTTAGAAGTAACAGTTCACATGCAACAATTTTGACTCAGATTTTCTGGCTCTACAATACTGATATGAGCGTAAATATCTAATATATCTGGTTAGTTGCATCTATATAGGCTGCTTGCCCAAAGAACTTCACCTCAGCTGTCTCCATATAGAGATGCCATAAGTTGTCAGATGTTCTGAACATCAGGGAAAGTCCCCTATAAACATCATCTTTGCTTTATATCAATAATAAACGTCACGTTTGTGTATTTAGTTGCGTTATGTGAACTGCTTGTTAGAGGAAATCCATCTTCAGTTTTTCATCTAATTATTTTTTGTTGGCTTGTAAAATGTGATATTACTAGTTGCCAAATCATAGTACTGTAGTACCGAAGCAAACAGAGAATATTCATGAGAAGAAACATAAAAACCCCACCCAGATGTCCTCATGTCAATGGATATATTCTTCACTACAGTACAAAATAGCAGAAAGGGGTTTTTATATGTTGCATGCAACATAATTCCTGTAATTCCAATGAATTTCAGTCATGGGGCTCCGCAGCCAGGACCACAGCCGGTTCATTGCTCAGACTGATAGGAGGGCTATTGGTTTGGGTTTTCAATCATCTTGAGGAGTAATGGATACGGCTGGCATACGCAACATCTGCTATGTCTTTAATAGTCGCTTATAGTCAATTATACATGCTTCAGTCCAATTTAGACAAAATTATTTTACTGAATTTCCCAACTTGACAGTCAGACCATCTATTTAATGAGAGCAATTTCCTGTGCAAGTAGCTAATAACCATAAGCTCGCTAACTTCTCAGTTGCAAGTTAATATTGCCTGCTGTCTGCATTGAGAAAGAAAGAAAGAATATTGATTATGGGTGTAATTTGGTCTGATTGTTAGCTGAATGAATTTCTCTTTTAAAGACCAAGACTTCATCACATTAGCTAAATGTGATCTCAACTGTTTTTAATGAACTAGATATAAATTGCTTTTAAAATATAAATACATTTGCAACTTAATGATTATATCAAAATACAAGCAATAGTACCAATTAAACATTACACAAAACTCTTTATATAAGTTGGATTTTAATTTGAACTTGACATGACATGAATTTGACAAGGGTCTTAAATAACATGCACATATAAGAGCATATTTTGTTTTTGCATTTTCTACCCGTTTCTCCATTCTTTATCTTCCTTGTCGAATAAATAAACTACAAAAAATACAAAAATCCTAAAGGAATGCTAATGGATTTATTATCCATTATAAAGGTATTTATATCATATATCCGTATATATAATGGGTTCAAATAAAATTCTAATTCTAAAAAAATATATACATATATCTGGATTAAACTTAAAATAGGAATATTAGTTTGTCCTGTAGTACCTCATTTGATTCTAAGATCATTTTTAGAAGATTTTTGTTTGATCTGATTAGGATTGGTTCCCAGTTCTAATTATGAAATTCCATCAGCTGTGCTTTATAGGATTTTTAATTTTTCTCGGTTCTACATACCCATAACTGCAATAATCAAACACAGATAAAAAAACTCATTAGTGTTCAAATATGTGATCTGATTATAGATTTTTGTAAAAAAATATTTTTGTTATTTGAATTGAAATAGATTTTTGCCACCTTCTTGCGCCTGTGATTGAATAAATGAATAAGTACATCTACTGGCCCTGAACCGTTATGGCCTTCTCTGTCAGTGCAGAACATTCTCTCCAGGTCTGTGATGAGACTCTGTGTGGCGGAGGTGGAAATCATCACCTGCGTTTGTTCTCTGTAATTGATTTAGTTTGGGCTGATTATCAGGGGATTGTGGCAGACATGGAATTGAATCGCTTCACTTCCCCCTCCAGATTCCCTCATAACCTGCTGATGTTATTGGAGAGCAGAAAGTTTGGTCTGACAAACCAGAGGCTTTGTGATAACCCTTATCACAAACAAAAGCTGTCCTGTGGGTGAGAGATACGCGATTGATCCAGTTGTCTGGCACTAATTGGGTTTTGGGTTTTGATTGGTTTTGTTTTACTATGGTCAAATGGCAGAAAAAAAGTTTTTGGATATACTTAGTGGGTCTTAGAAAGATACTTTTTTGTTATACACTTACTTGGGGTCAGTAAGGGTGTCCATGCCAGAAACTATGTGTCCCTGTTGTTACTGTCCTCCATGAGTAGCTCTCTGTGCTGTAAAAGTGGAGGAATAAAGTTGCAGTTGTTGGCAAGCTTCAGTTTCACTGCAGATCCACGTCCTCCTCTTGGTTGACCTTGCAGGTGAGGAACCAGATCATGGAATACATCAACATTCACTCTGCACCCCTCTGCTGCTTGACTCTCTAGGCTCTACTCTGCTGAGAAGGGCTCTGTCTGGTGGGTATTTGCAAACCTGGAGATGATTTACGGATGGGGTTCTGCTCCATTCTCAGCATGTGACTTGATTCCAAATGGAGCTGTGGTATATTGTAAGCCGTTATTGTTCTTTTGCTATTTGTTCAGCTCCAGTGCCTTTTATTGCTGGATTTCCTCGTCTGGTTATATATGCTACAATAACAGAGCACCTTTAGTCCCAGAGCTGTGAATATTACAACAAATGTTTATATATTCCTTATTGTCCTGCTTCCAACATGTCTTCTTTCCTAGAGTTAAAGGTATTGTTCTCCCCAAAATGAACATTTGCTCACCCTCAGGTGACCAAAGGTGTAACTAGATGAATTTGTTTCCTCATCTGAACGGATTTGGAAAAATTTTGTATTACATTGAATTGCTCCCCAATGGATGCTCTGCAGTGAGTGGGTGCCATCAGAGTCCAGACAGCTGAAAAAGCATCACAATAAGCAACAAATAATCCACACGACTCCAATCCATCAGTTAACATCTTGTGAAATGAAAAGCTGCATGTTTGTAAGAAACAAATCCACCATGAAGGTATTTTAACTGTAAACCGTTGCTTCCAAAATAGAGTCCATAATCCATAATAATGCTTCCTCCAATGAAAAAGTCCATCCACTCCTTTCACATCAAAATCCACCAATATATTTGTTTAGAACTGTTTTGGACTGTTTTCTCTTGTAAACAGTGCTTGATCTGTGCTTGATATTTCTCTTGATTTAGACAAGATGACTTTTTCACTGCAATATTATGGATACAGGACTTACAGTATTTTAGCTGGAAGTAATTTTTTGAAGTTAAAAATGTCTTGATAAATTACATTTTTACAAACAGTTTTAGCTTCACAAGACATTATTTTGGTGTCATGTGGATTACTTGTGGATTATTGTGATGTTTTTATCAGCTGTTTGGACTCTCATTTTGACGGCACCCATTCACTGCCGAGGATCCATTTGTGGCCAAGGGATGTACTGCTAAATTTAGCCAAATCTGTTCTGATAAACAAGCAAACACATCTGCATTTTGGATCACCTGAAGGTGAGAAAACGTTCAGCAAATGTAAATTTTTGGGAGAACTATTCATCTAAATACTCTGCCACCAAAAAGAAAGAACAATTAGATGCTACTTGAACTTTACCTGGCGATGAAGGAAGTAACTCCAAAGTGAGACTGAGAAAAAGAGAAATGTAGAAAGATGGATGGAATTAATTGACTGGATAGATGGATAGATGGATGGATGGTGAGGTCTTCAGTGTGTGATAAAGATGCAGAATCAGTGGCAAAAGATGTGAGAGGCTTAATGAGATTTACAATCATTATGTATTCACTCTGTAATTTACTGCAGAAGTGGTTGTGCATGTGTGTGCGTGTCCTAGTTTATGCATTGTTTTCATCCAGTCTCTATTCACATCTTTTTGTCCTTTTTTTGTAGTGATTTTTCTTCTGTAGGATTGATTGACATTGGATACACAGGAATTGACCGATATTACACTGTGGCAGTAATTTTGAGTCTTTAAGAATAAACAAGTCTGTGATATGGCCAATATGTGATTAAAATGAAATCTTAAGTTGGTAGAAACCCTTTTTGTAGTTTTTTAGAAGAGGGACTGAGTGTCTGACCTCTGCGAGTCACAGAGGGAAGCGCTTAATATGGTGAATAGTCTAACAGATGGTTGAGGGAAAAAAAACAGCTGCTGAACGGATGGATGGGCTGAGTGAGAGCTTGGCCAGTTGTTAATTGAGTTGGCTGATTTAGTATGCGTATAAATGTGTTAGTAGAGCGAGTGTGGGTATGCCTGCATTTTGACAGAGGATGGTGTCAAATCAAAGAGCTCAAAACGGCTGTCTCACAAACCCATAATTCTCTTGTGTGCTCTTTGTGAGATACTGGGAGTAACATGAGGCTTGTCTACACTTGCAATTCAACTCTGATCATTACTGGGCTTATTCAGTCGAGTGAAGCAGACCCCTTATTGGAATGAAAACAAATTGATCGGCATCATAGTTTTGAATGTCCATAGTCAAAACATCAACTGACTCATTGTGATGTGCTAAAGATCAGCACTGATGCTTTAACATCACTATTATTATTATTATTATTATTATCACCAATTTGTTCTTGGATGTTATGGTAATATTGTTGCAGAAGGCTGGTTGGGTGTGATAACATCACTATGGCAACATGAACTGACCCTGTTTACTTTTTTGTTTTCTT